GCGAAAAGAAACTTGTTGCTAAAACCGGTACTACTTCAGGTCTTATTAATCATCTAAAAGAGTAGCACTGTCATGTTTTTTCGGAATATAAGAAAATTAATTATGCATAACAAAGTGCGAAAAAGTCTCGCGTTATTGATGACGACTCTTCAGAAACCAATTTCATCAGTACACCCAAATGAGCTCGTCTTGTTGCCACTCCTGAGTCATACCCTCAATTTTTAACATCATCTGGTAAATTGAGAACTGCTAAAGCCTCTAAAACTTCCCGTGTTGCTCCATGGCCCAAAGACCATTTTGAAAATGTAAATATAGTTACATCATTGACTAAGTGGATTGTCCACAAACAATTACCTTTTAGGATAGTGGATAGTAAATATTTTCATGAAATAATAAAGCAAGCAACGAAGAGGAAGTATAACCCTGTTTCATCAAAATTACTTTCTCAGGACAGAATTCCTAAGTTATATAGATTCATCAGTGATGATGTGAACAAAATTAAAATTGAAGGTTGGATGCCCACTGTTGTAGAAGCTAATATAATTAAGAGTATTATTGAATGTCTTGATCCAATTGATAAAATTTCACAAGTTTTAAGCTCTGACAAAGACCCAACAATCAACTTGGTGATCTTAAAAATCTATAATCTTAAGAAAAAATTATTAAAATTGGAAAACTAAGTTTTCTTACATGTGTCACGAATACAACTCAAGTTCTAATAGCAGGAATCCAAAAACGTTTTCCTGATTGTGATCATAAAGTACTTGAGTATTCAATGGCACATTTTCTTGATCCAAGATAAAAGGGATCAATCATTTTTGCACTTGATGAGCGAAGATACGAAAACATCAGAAATACCGCTACTCAAGCTATAATTGATATAGGAGATGCATTGGAAATTTAAATCAATCATCCGAAAATGATAATTCGTCCGATGAAGAAGCTTCACAATATGGCACAACTAAATCTGAAAAATGTTGTAGATATATCTAACATAGTGACCAATATCCTAACTAAATTAAACGTCGTCTTTTTTTAACGAATATATTCGCAACTGCTTATTTGCTGAACGATTATTTTATTTGTTTAACGAAAAAGTGCGAAAGAATATGTTTGTTTAAAGAATATTCGTAAAGCATTTATATGTTGAAAATTATTATTCGCTCATTAATCGTTCAACAAATAAAGCGAACAAATATTCGTAACTGTTTAACGAATAATCTTTAAAAAACTCGTTTATCAAATAATCGTCGCGCTCTACTTGTTATGCTTGCAACTTCTGCGTAGTATAAGTTACGTTTTAAAGCCTTTTTTTATTTTGTTATTCATTCATTGTTTTTAATTGAAAGGTGTGTTTTATTATAATATTCAACTGAAATATTTGACATAGTGTTGAAGAAGTTGATGAACGCTGTGCAATCAATAATGCATTTACTGTTGATCGTAATGCTAGCTCTTGTGCTGGATCTTCAAATGTTTCTGTTATTTTCAGTTTTGATAAGTCAAGACTAGATTTATTAAAAAGAAAAAACCCTATTTTTTCTAACGCAATGACTGCATGTGTTTTGGTGAAGTACTTGCCACTTTTTTATAAAACTTTTAATAAACTTGGAAAATTAGCTTTATTAACATTTTTGCGTTTTGATGGTTCATATATCATAATATGATACGTATTTCCAGGTCCAATGGCTGCAAAATAAGACTTAAATGAGCTGGTAGGCAGAAAAACAGAACGTTGTTTTATATTTCAATAATTTTTAATGAAACGATTGTTGTGCCCATATAATACAAGAATGTGTTTCCGCCAACTGATTCAACTGTATAAATACTCCTTCCAATAAATTGCGGTTTTTCCAACCATTCTAAATCCGATTTTGTATACACTGAGCCGGTTGGACTTTTTATTACACCATGATTGATATAAGTATATTTTTGATTTATAAACGACAAAAGGAGGTAAGTAGAAGCCTGATGCATTAACGCAGTTATTTACGGTCAGAGGCGATTCTACAAATAAAATGAGGACGGGGGGGGGGGATGAATCCTCAAAATGTACTGACTGACTTCTGAAAAAGAAAAAAAAAAAAACGGCCTCAAAACAAAAATTTTACCGACTGAATTGTGTCAGATACCTGACTAGCCAACTAAATTCGTGAAAAAACCGACTATAATTTGAAAATCACCTTCTTTGGGGGGTGTACCCCAACACTCCCCGGTAAAATCGCCTCTGTTTACGGTATAAACTAATTTTTTCATTGTTTTCTGTAAGTTAAAAAATTCCGATATAGTTCCAATGTAATTGAAAATATTTTTTAATTTTATTGGAAGCGCAAAAAGATGCTCTGTTTAATGCGATGTTATTTGCTCTGCGTAATGCTGCATCATGTTTCCATCTCTATATCACCACTGTAATAAAGGTTTGTCATTTTTCGACTAAATACTCTTGCTCTGTGTTTTTCTAATAGTGTTGAACAATAGAAATTATAGCAACTTGTGTCATACCATAACCCCAATCAGTAAAATATTGACAAAATGAATAAATAACATTGCATTTTTAACTGATAAACCTATTAGCCTTTTGTTTCGGTGTTGATCTGCTTTTTTACTTTTATATCTATTAATCAATATCAATTTTGCTACATTGAACTTAAATGTTCTTAATGATGTTCCTTGCTCTCGATGATGTTTCAAAGTATTTTCAACATCTTCTTCGCTGTAGCTTCTGTTTGGCATTTTGTTGATGGTGATGGTTTTTTATTTTATATACCAGTGTGAAGGAGATTAGTATTAGCATATTAAAAAAGAGAAATGGCGTTTTTTTTTTTATGGAAATAAAAAGGAATTTAAAGAGGAAGTAATATCCTATATTATTATTTTAATAAATAATGAGAGAAGTAATTAAAAAAGTAAACACATATTGGTTGCTTTTTGCCACAAATAATCGATTAAATTTATTAATTATTGACCGACTTAATTAGAATATTACCTTTTTTAGTTTTCAGATTGAAATAATATCTTATTTTACTTAACATAATAAAATAAAAATATTACCTTTAGATTCAGAATAAAAAATCTCCATTAAAACGCATTTTTTTAAAAATCTTAACCTAGTTTATAACTTAAATTTAGGAACCTTTAAATTAGTATCTATGGTTTATTCAAATTAACGCATCAAAAAGCATTTTTTCCTTCACAAAAATGTCATTAATCAAATTTCTTTTTACATGTTCTAATAGTAGTCCTACTCTATATTGCTTTACATTATGATATTAAAAAAATATTTAAATTAAATTTAAATAAAAGTGAGGGGCTTAAAAAAGTGACCGAAAATACATTAACTTACCCTAGACACGCAGTAAAAAGTTGTTAATGATATACTAAATGATTGAGCAACTTTGTTAAATGAGAGTTCACTGCTTCGTAATTTAGCTATTGCAAAAGTGATTGGTACTTCAGTGTAAAACATTTCTTTTTTCTTTGCATGCAAGTTTTTAGGGTTTTTAGTGTATATTATATATTAGAACAAATTTGATAATAATTAATTTCAAATTTATACGAGAATTTTTAGATATTTATTGGTCAGCTAAGTCAACAATTGGCATATTTTATTCAATGTAATAATTCACTGTTTCCTTTTTTTAACCTTTTACTTAAAGTAGCAAAAAAAGTTTTGAAAAAAGATCTTTGGCCGGCCTAAAAAGTTATACGAGGATATGTTTAAATTTCACAAATTGCAAATTTAAAAAAGGTTTGAAGCCAATAATTAAAAAAAGGTTTGAAGCCAATTATTAAAAAAAGAAAATTATGATAAATTAAAATTATTAAAGTCTCTTGCAAAAATTTAGAATCAGTTAAGTATTTTTTAAGTAAATCCATAATTTATTGAAAATGACAAAGCTCAGATGTAATTTATGTTATACACATGTATGCATATACACATGTATGTTATACATATGTGTATAACATACATGTGTATGTTATACATGTGTATATTATACATATGTATGTATATAACATAAACTAAATATTAGCTTTGTGTCATTTTCAATAAATTATGGGTTTAACTAAAAAATACTAAACTAATTCAAAACTTTTGCAAGAGACTTTAATAATTTTAATTTATTTTTTATTTAATTGTAATTCAGAAAAAGTCTAGAATTTAATAGAAAAAAAAATTGCATTAAGTTTATTTTGCAATGTTTTAAGTGAGTAATAAATAACAGCAAAAGAATTTTAAATAAACATTACTAATTTATTTTAACCTGTTTACTCTATTCAGAAAAAAAATTATTATTATTTTTTTTTTTAACTTTAAATAGCTTGTATTAGTTATTAAGGTGCTCCTAAAAGTCCTCATCACAGAGCAATAGTCTTCAGCATTATTATGTGTTAGTGAAGCAGTGAGGCATTAGATCATATTATAACCTAAAATGTCTAAAAAACGTGTTAATTTAATAATCTTTAAACAGATTTTTTTAACAGAACTTTTAAAAAGAATATATAGTTTGAGGTATAAAGTACGTGCGCAGGTATGGGGAATAGAAGGGTTACTTACCCCTCCTTTGTACATAAATGCGTACAAAAGAGGGGTGGGAGTTTAAAACAACGATTATTCTCAGGAATTTAATACAAGGGGAATAGGGTTCTTAACGAAATTGGTAGACGAAATTTTTTTTACAGAACATGAATAAATAAATTAACATAATTAAGAGCTTTTTAGCAGTTGTTTCATTATAGTTTATACGATGGTGAGAAATAATCATAAATTGTTTTTGACAAAGCCAAAATTACGAGATTTTGACGAATCCAAAATTTTTTTTTGAAAATTTATGCGTTAGTGAAGGACGAAGAGTGACTTCGTAATAAATAATTTATACGTAGGTATAATGGGGAGGGGGTTGTTAAATGTGTACAAATGGGGGAGGGGATCATAAGTCAGTGGTTTCAGTCAGTATTGCCTATATTTAAGTCAGTATCGCGTACGTAAAGTTAAAGCATAATCAATAAAGACAAATGGGTCTTTCAAATGTAACCTAAGATTACAATAAATTTTTTTATACTGGTTTTCGGCAACTATAATTTTCGAAAAGTCTACGTGGAAATATCGCAACAAGACTTTCAAGACTTTCGAATATAGTAACTAAAAAATGTCATAACAAGTTAAGGTCATTGGTAAAACTAGCTAAACAAATTTAAAAAAAAAGGTAACAGTTAAGATTTTTATTCTAAAAGAACTATAATCACTACTCTTTCCTTTTATTTTTTTTACGTTTAACGTTAACTTTTAAAAGTTCATGGCCTTCCTCTTTGATGTGATTAAATAATTTATTTCTTGTAGGGAAATCTTTCTTACAAGTTTGGCATTTTAAAGTGTCATTAACGTCATCGTCTTCACCGTTTTTATTTTTGTCTTTTTTAGGCGAGTCTGTTTTTTTAAGTTTTACTACCTGTGATTCAGCTTCTTCGGATAAACTTTTTTGTAAAAGTTTATTTTTACCTCGATGTTCTATTTTGTCTTTATTATACCGTAGTGAATCTAACGAGTGACTCTTAAGCGAGCCATCATTATGTGGATTACTCTCTGTTTCGAGTAAATTTTCTCCATTCACTTCTACTAAAAACACGCTATCATGTTTACCATCTTCTCCATCTTTTTCATTTGGTAGCTTTTCTCTCTTTTTTTTACGGTTAGATTTTGATTGTCTTTGACTTTTAGATATCTTAATAGAATCGGTAATTGAACTAATTCCAAGATAAGCTTTTGCTGCCGCATCGGTTTCGGTATTAAAATTTTTATTTTTTTCAGTAAAATTGACAGGATTTATAAAACTATTGCCAGTATATGAGGCCATTCTAGCAATCCATTCAATTTCGTCAATATCATCATCATTAATGTCATTTTCAGATATATTTCTTTGTCGGTTTTTAATCGGATCAGAATTATTACTTTTAAGGACTTCAGATTCACATTCTGAATTTTCATGGGAAAGTTTGGGCCCATTCTTTTCTCGAGAGAGTTTGCGCTCAACAATATTCAATTTAACAACATTTGCTGGTAGGCTTAGAGAATTTAATCGAAAATATGGTGAATCCCCATCAATATCACATTCTTCAGAATCTTTAACATTTATTTTATGAATGTCATTTGTTAAACCATCTACTTCACTTTCTTCTGAAGTTAAGCTATCAGCCATTTCATTTTTTATAAGCTGTACATTTTCTTTATGCTTCTTTGACTTTTCGTGGTTACTTAATGCTTTTTCGCTTTTAAATGTTTTTTCACAAGCTATACAATAAAATGCTTCAATCTCATCTTCACCTGTACTACTGATGTCATCAGGGTTACTTTGTTTTGTAATTCCGAAATGATTATCAAAATGTGAGTCTATATCATCTAGCTTAGACTCATCAAATGCCATCCAGTCTTGTTCTTTATAATCATTTAGTATTTTATTACGATTTCGTTTATCCTCTTCCATTTTTTTTAACAAATTGTTTTTTTGCTCTTCCTGTTTCTTTTCAAGATCTTTTATATAAGCCTGAACTCGTCTATCTCTTTTTCGTACAAATGAAACTAACGCTCGAACATCTTCATTTCTTTTTTTCTTACAAGCATCTCTAGCTTTTTTATTTTCTTTTTCCATTAACCTCTGGGTGGGACGATTTGGTGCTTGGCGCAAATCATATTTCTCTTTCCAAACATAAGATTTTTTAGTACAATAACCAAGCCAGTATGAATAAAATAATTTAACAACATCATCATAGTCACTGAGAGAATTGCCAAAATCCGGAACATTGTAGTCACTTATATCTCCCTCCAAATAAGGTTCGTCCTCCTCAGCTATTTTGCGAAAGGCATCTCTGAATATTGTATAAAAGCCAGTTGCTCCATCGTCATACCCACTATAAACTGAAGGATTAAAATACTGCATTAAATCAACATCATCGTCTACAACATCCTCACTGCCCTTTAAAATAGACTCTCTGTGTTTGTCATACCACGCACGTTCTTGTTTGTCACTTAAAACTTCATAAGCAGCTTGTACTTCTCGGAAAAGTTGAGTATATTTTTCAGATTCATCAACATGCTTATCAGGATGTAGTTGCAAAGCTAGCTTACGATATGCTTTTTTAATTTCCGTATCATCAGCATTGCGTTCCACACACAAGACATCATAGTGACATTTCATTTTATTTTAAAACTAAAATAGAAATGCTCAAAAGTTTAGTTAAAAATAAAATTTTGCAGTTATAATCAAAACACATCAATAATAAAAGTTGATAGTATATGTATTGCATATGTGGAAAAAAATGCATTCATGTAAACAAAAAAAAATTTTTTTTTGAAAAGATTTTTTACAAAGTTTTAACTGATTAACTCATTAGCCTTAAAAAAAGTTTTGTTTCAGGAAACATAAATTTATTAATTTTTGAAAAATTTGAAATTTTAATAAAATAGAATCTGCATAAAAGATATTACCTGACAGATGACAACATAATACAAATCAAAAAATGAAGGAAAAAACAACTTATTAAAACAAAACTTCAAAATAAATTTAACTTGAACTTGAGTTTATTAAATTTCGTTGAGTTTATAAATTAAAATTAAATTTGTAAATTAAAGAGTATTCAACACCTGTTTTAATGAACTTGTTGACAAAAAAAAAAGATGAAAATTGAAATTATTTTTATCTCAAAAAATGTTTAAAAATGTATAAAAAACTGTATAAAAAACCTAAAAATGCTTAACTAAGCTTAATAACAAAGTTTATTTTTTGATAGTATATTCGATTTTTTTTTTTAATGCTATTTTTCAAGCAGGCTAAAAAGTTATTATTTAAAAAAATAAATACAATGATGATTGACTAACAATTCACAAAATTTTTACGTAATGATGACCAGTGTTCCTTTTAAGTTAAACTTTTACAGAAAATATATTAATCCTCCTACAAACAATACCCATTAAAGAAAAAAAAATAAAACCTGCGCACAAAACTTCTTGAATTGTGGCATTAAAAAAAACTTTTTTTAGTCTAACTTGATTATATTTTAGAATTGGGCTAAATATTATTATTAGTAATATTTGTTATCAAATATTTCTAAATTAACACTAAAAACAAACTAGATAAAACAATCACTGACTGGTTAAAAATCTATGTAAAAAAAATTCTTTTTTAAGTCATAAAATTAAAAAAAAAAAAAAATAGTCAACACTAATCTGAAGAGTTTATATAATCTTGCAAACTTATTATTACAGTGTACTTATGTAGTCTTCGCCTACTTTTGGATACATCAGTATTACAACCAGTAATTACTAGAGTTTTTAACATAAAAAATACATTTTGTAAATTTTCACTTCAAAAACTTATCAGGTTACTCAGCAAATGAGAATATCCTTTACTTGTTCTCCAATGTAATTTATCTAATGGTAATAAAGTCTTTGGTCTTTTCATATTAACATTTTTTTTAGTATCAAAAGTCTCTTTCGAAGAGATTTATAACGTTATCAATAATATTAATCAGAAAAAAAATCACAGGCATGGTTAAGCACAGTTTTTTAGTTAGTTAATTACAATAAATGTTAACTTATTTCTTATTATTAATATTAAAACTCACATTAAAATCCGTAAAATTATGTAAAAATACATTATATTTAAAAATAAAAGCAAGTTTTATATAAAGATTTTTTTAGCAAATTGATAAAATAACTACATACAAATTGGTAACCAATGTTATTTTTGACAAACATTTGTCGTCACCTTTTTATGGTGAATCTCTTTTTTGGCCACGTTACGTAAGAGTAAATCATCCAATTTGATATATTATTAAAAACTATTAGATGAAAAAGTAAATTGCACTAAAAAAAAAACTTGCTAGATTAAATTTTATATATATATATATATATTATACTATAATATTATAGTAAATTACATTGTTTTTAAAAAAACCTTTGTTAGATGTCTACTTTTAACTAATATTCCGAACTTGTACTGGGGTGTAAACTATTAAACTCGGTAAAATTTTGTCCGATTTTAAGCAATTAAATAATATAATTTAAATAATACTTATAACATTCTAATATTATATATATTTGTTAACTCCAATTTAAATTAGTATCATTTGTTTGCATTGTCGGTTTTTACAGTAATAATAATTTTGCATTAAACTAATTTGCAATTTCCGAAAGAACATTATATCTTGCGTAATCTTTACAGCCATATTCCGGAAGAATTTGATACAAAATAAACAACTCGAAATTTAAAAGCATATAGAGTATATTGGCATAAAAATAACAATCTGCATAAGAAATAAAAAGATTTTACAAAAGATATAAATAGCAAAACACTTACACAAAATACATCATTTATAAATAAGTACAAGTTAATAAAGTTCAAGTATTCATTACATTATATTATGGTGTTTATTACATTACTTTACGATTTACATAATAGCAGAGTCATCATAATAGCAAGAAAAAATAAAAATAAAAATAAAAATGAATATATAAACATATATTTTAAAATATTTAACCAAGTTAGTTACATAGACAAATGACAAACAGACCAATTATTCAAAGATAATCAAAGTAATCAAAGATAGACCAACAGACCAATTGATCTGTTGGTCTGTTTGTTACAGAAGTTAACTTCTGTATTTCTCAATCTCTTACTCAGATAGCAACTTTATGACTTGTTTTCTAAAAACCTTACTCACTACCTCTACTCCTTGATTTTTATTTTTTCTCTGAACCTAGTTTGTATCAGTTTCTCCTTGTTCTTTTTTAGACGGTTCTGATTGTGCAATGTTCTAAATAAATTTTTTACCTTGTACATCTTCTTTAGACTCACTTTGTCATCGCACTACTTACTACTAATCTAAAGCTGATTGGGATTCTTTTCGTGATTTTCTTCGTGACGGTCCTCGGGTAAGGTTATTATTTCTCCACTGATGAATAAGCCTCCTACGAAACCTCCTGGATTCAGGCAGAAATGAAAACTTTTCTTTCTTCTTATCGGTTCCAAGTAAAGCCTCATTCTACTCTATGGTTTTTATCTTCTTGTGCAACTACTATATCTAATCGTTATCATTTTTTATATTTTTCAAAAGAAAAATTATATTGAGAACAAACGACTTTTTATAATTGCAAGAAATTGATGTAATAAGGTGCTGTTAGAAGTAACTATATTTCAGAAGTTAGGTTTTGGAGACATTTGAAAAATCTTCAACAATGTTGTCATGTCATTTATGCGGTAGTGGTGTAGTGGTAGAGCGCTCGCTTCATAAACGAGTGGTTCCGAGTTCGATCCCCACCACGTCCCTGGTAGTACCGCGCTCAACTCGTTTCTCCGCGCAGCGGCCTTGCTTATCAAGATTCGTGTTTCGGAGTTATAGAGTTGAGAGAGGGTTATAACCACAAATAAGTAGCCTCCTCGTCTGTAGTGGCCTTCTCGGCCTTGAGGAGGTGAATTAAAATATATATAATGTCAACAAAAGTTAGTAGAACATTTCATCCCTAAATCATGGGTCTGATTATAATATCTCTTCCAAGAATAAGGCACAACTATATTCAAAGAACTCTATTCGAGTCTTGAATCTAATGGTCATACTCTTTCTACCATTCCAGTTTGTTTTTTTTTGTTATTATTTTTAGGTGTTCCGAGAAGACCTAACGGTCTTGTCACAGAGCACCGCGGAAGTACATTTAACCAGGAAGTTCACGCCTTCTTCCTTACCGTGACTTTTTTTAAAAATTGACGATTGTGACCCCCCCACACACACAAAAATTAAACTTCTGGAATACAAAGTAACAACAGATAATACATTTTTTGCAAAATTTGCATTTATTTCTGTGGTTGTCGCTACTTTCTACTGCTGGGATTCTAAAGACAGTTTCAAAATCTATGGATTTAGATTGTCAGATGCTAAATACTTCCGTGTCAAATAGATAATTATACTCATCTTCAAGAGATTTTTCGAAACATTTTCTTGCAAAGTATAACAACTCTGTTTAAAGCTGGTCTACTGTTACACAAGCATCACATTTTTTGAGTAACCCACTTAGGTGTTGCAATGCGTCACTAGGCATATTTTTAAAAATTTCTGCAAAATTTCTTGGATCTAAACAAAATAAATCAGCATATACCATGCTAAGATAATCTTTATTTTAAACTACTATTTATTTGAATCATGACAATGTTATAAACACTGACACAAAATTTATCCTTCGCACTTTCAAATAGTTTGTTGGTTCTAATTCTTCTATCTTTTAAACTAGTCTGAACTTCAAATCCATATTATTGCATTATATCCATTCCAATTGTTTGCAAATATTTAGATGATAGCGTTGTGTTTTTAAACACTTTCAAAAACAATTTTGCCGTCAAAATAAATTCAATATTTATCGAGGAATCTAAAAGAGCTTTTGGTCTGTAACGAATATCATTATTGAATTTTATCGATGTAGAAATATCATGAAGTATTTGTAATATGTCAATGTACAAATAATCAAAACTTGTGTTTCTTGATTGGAGGATTTGATGAAGAAATTTCCAAATATGTTAGTAAAAGCTCTATCTTTCGCCCACCAACTGGTTTCACCGATTATAAATATATATTTCAATTTGCTAAATTCATGCTAAACATCGAAGCGTAAGTATGATTCCACAAGACACAAATTAAGGTAACAACTTTAACGGCTTTTTTTAGTATCGTTACTCATTTTTAAATTTAAGACATGCACATAACACCATTCATGAATCTGAACCGGGAAGACTCTATTTACCCAGGTGTTGAATCCATTGTATTGACCTTGCATTATTGAGGCTCCTTCGTTTGCATTGCCAATACATTTACTTATATAAATGCTTACTTTTCAAAAACGCCACAAACCAAATCACCCACTCCTTTTCCAATTGTTGATGTGCAATTGGTTATCGATACTATACGTTTATGTTCAGCTTCTTTAAGATTTTGGATCAAAATAGAACATCATTTTTAACAAAAATATGACCAAGTTGCCACGACCTCTTCTGTAAACCAAACCAAGTTGCCACGACCTCTTCAACTAAACCATGCCAGAATTCGCTTTTTGTAACCACTTCTTTAATATGTGTTTCCAACAACGGATCAAATTTGCCAAACAAGCAAAAGAATATCCAAAAATTCTCATGATTAACACTGTCATCAAGCAATGTGAACCCAG